CCTCTATGAGGTGGATTGATTCAGTGACTGGGATAATTGGGATGGGAGTGTCAGAGACAGTGCGATTGGCACAGGACAGAGCGGAGTTTAGGGCTATTGTACATAGGGTCGCTATGAGTCGCAGGCGACTCGACGGCACATAACAACAACAGTCAAACTCCCAAGCCACGCTGAGGAAGATGTGGCAGTCTCTTTTACAGCCTTGGGAACCTACTCTGTAGAGTCTCTGAGTTGGAATGACTTGCTGGCATTGGGTTGTTTTAAGTGGCTAGTAATACAGGGATCTGCACATTGGGGCCTATTAGCGAAGAACAATTTTTTTAATTTTTTGTCATTACATTCTTTTAAAGGGTTTTAAAAAGGCAAATAAAACCAACATATGACAGAGATTTTAAGTGGTCTATGAAGCCTAAAATATTTACTAGCTGGCCCTCTCCAGAAAAAGAAAATTTCATATAGGTTTTCCGCTTATTTTTTTTTCCCGTTTGCATTGTGATTCATACGAATATTCCCATGCATTGTGTTTTAAAAATTAATCACCATTGATTGGTGCCCTCTGTTACCCTGTCTTTTCAGATCCCCACTGGATCTTTCCTAATTCCTTTACCCCCTCTCTCCACACAGTCATATAGACTCTTCAGAAATTTTACTATTACCACATTTCTCACAGCACATCTGAAAAACATGGGTTAGGATTAAAAGTAGAATTTGCATAATTTTTCAATTGTATAAAACTATCCAAGAGAATGGGAGCTCTGATAAAATCCAGAAAAGAAGCTGTGCTGTAATCCCAAAGGCATATGGTTTTAATCCACCAGCTGCTCCCTGAAAGAAAGATGAGCAGTCCTTCCATCTGATATACTGCCTCTGAAAACCAACTGGAGGGTCAGCTATGGGTTGGTTCAGACTCAACAGCACACAAGAAGAAGAACATCCAAGGGAACAAAGCAGTTATGTGGCTTAGATTTTTAAAATTGGCCATCTTAATATAGGTATGATACTTGAAAACTAAGTAAACCAAGTATATTATTTTCCCTCTTTAACTATCTGTCAGCTCCAGCTGGGTTTGAAGAAGGTAATTTTTCTAGTGCAAAATTTTTCATAG